TCCCAAAGGGAACTGACTATGGAGAGCGAAATGATATGAAGAGGCGCGGAAATGCTCTAGGTGGAAGGCGCAGATTAGGAGCACACATACTCATTCACAGGATTGAGCACTTCTTCTTCTTCCTTGGCGCATCTCGATTCCGTTCTCGGTGCTGAAACAGCAAGAGCGAGTGAGATTCCTGGCCCTCATCAAATAAGAAATTGCAAAGCACACAGAATAACATCAGAGCTGGTCCAATGCTATATATCATAATTCCCCAAAAATTGCAGAAAGTTCTTATCTCAAACTACAAGTACTACATGAAGTAAAAGTTTCTGATTGTATCTGGGCTTAACTAAAAGTCTTTGCATCAAAGCAATCGTTTTCGCCATTATAAGGCACGACGATTTATCTTAGCTACAGTGAATTTTCTTTAATAAGCCTTCTCAAAGTAGAAAGAAATAAATGCAAAGCGTCTCAAAGAAACAAAGAAAGTTATTATTATGACAAATGAGATAAAATTGAGAATCTCCTACAGATCAAAAAAGGAGTTTGTAGGTTTATATGTGTTATTAAAACACCTTTGAATGATTCATATTTGGTGTGGAAAAAGTGCCGCGGATAAAGTAACGCTAGACAATGACTCACCCTTCTGATCTCACGTACTAACGTATAAAAGGCGTCGTCTACACCCATTCTGGTTTTGGCTGACGTATCAACCATCGGTATCCCTGAAAGTGTATATTGTACACATTGATCAATTAGTAGAAGATATCAGCAAAAACGATAAGATATCATTGACAATTTTACCTCTAATCACAACTCGCAACATTAGAATATCAAAGTGCATTACAATAAATGATGAACGACATTGAGTCAAACAACACGCCACTTGGCAATGCAGCGATTGATTAGAACCAACACACTAACCTAAGTCAACTCCAAATAATAGGTCAACTTATATCTCAGACGATGGGATGTATGAAGAAAGCTGATGAGTCACGTGCAACGGAAGAATTACACAAGAAATGTGCTGGAGAAAAATTCTCTAACGTTATACATGATATATTTTGAAATTGAGATGGGTCATTAATTAAAGCCATAAAATGACGTTTTAAACACAAACAATCTTTAAAAAATGGTAAAAGCACGTAATAAGTGTACTAATTGAGCTAGAAAAACTGTACATACCATAAGCCCTAGCAGCTTCTGATACAGTTCGTCCATCAACGGCACGTTGAGCAAGATCACATTTGTTCCCCACTAGTACCATCGGTACCTCAAATAGCAGATCTCGAAAATGGCAGCTGATTGAAGGGGAATAGGTGGAAATTTGTAAAATTCATTAACGAGAACACAACTTACATCATCACTATCCTTGACCCGTCTTATTTGTTCGCGGTAATTAGCGACATTTTCAAATGACTTGGCTTCGTTTACAGCAAAAACGAGCAGAAAACCCTCTCCTAAACAT